TAGCAGAGTCAATATTAAATCGACTATTTAAAGGCCCAAAATACATTCGAATGAATTACTAATCGTTGTATTAAAGATGAAGGGTCTTAAGAATAGCTGATTGTTCTCTGAAATAGTCTTAGGCTCGTGGTTAGTAGTAATTGTACTTTTATTTTACACAGATTTTTTAATTTGGTGAAATAAAAGGTACTGGTATTTTATTTTTAAAAACTGTAGATTTTAATTTAGTATGTTTGCCTTTAAGCAGGTATGTCACAGCGGCATTACTTCTATAGGTTTATCCAAATTTTTTGGTTAAGGCGAGGTGAATAGACGACTTTAATGTATTTGAGGGGGTGAAGCAGATGAAGTAAGGGAAGAGTAGTCTCACCCACTGCGAGGTGTACCGCGTGAATCTCGCCTACGCTCGATGTAAAATGTACAATTGGTCCAGCATGCCGCTGTCTGTCTTCGCACCGCATTTTCGCGATGACTAGTGGTCCGAATCTCATCAGACATATATTGTGTATTCGTATTTTTAAAATGTTTCTACATTTATTTTCGTACCTAATATATGTACATATTTTTGCTTTGTTATTCTAAAAATATTTTTTATAGAATGAGGTAACAAACGAGCCGTCAGATGGACTGTGTGTCTATCTGATGGTAAGTGGTTGCTGTGACCTATAGACATCTACATTTATCTTCAATAAAAAATCAAAATGCAGATGCGTCGTTACCCGTGAGGACTAAGATGGAATGCCTTTTTTTCAGTTTAATGGGTCTCCGGTTCTCTACACTCACCATACGAAACACAGCAGTGTCAAGCTGCCATTTTACGTTGGTATTCTGTGAGAGCGTGGTCCTTCCCCGGTCGAGCCGACCCATTCATGTTACAACTATACTACTAATATAGCTGCAGCATGGCTCTACCACGTATATTATGTACCTACGTATTTTCGTGTTGTTATTTTTTAAATATGTACATATTCTATATTATTAATTTTAAAATAATCAATAATTGTTATTTTCCAGAAAAGGTTATGGAGAAATTTTGTAACAGATTCATCAAATGAACAATAAATGAATTCACAAATAAAATTGCTTTGAACAAAAATGATCAATCAAAGAAATGGCCTATTCTCGAAACAGCAAATTAAGTTAATTAGTTTAATTTAATTCTATTATTTTGATGTATTTACGCATATGGAGCGAAATCTAATTATATAAATTATGGAAAGAAAAATAATTCATAATCAAGCATTTTTCTGTGCACCAAGACATATTATGTGTCTTTGGCTACAGCCCTCAACTAATTGCACATATTGCGCAGCACACGGTTTCGGCATTCAACTTTTTGAACGGTATGATTAAATGACAATGCCTTATAATTACTTCCGTAGGATCGCGATGACCATCAGCCGTCGGCATTGACGTCTATTAGATGTATGCCATCTTTGCTCAATGTTCCTTCAGCTATCGCTGCATCACGCTCACGCATAGCTCCTGCCGCCATGGATTCAAGAGATGTTGACTCCCATTTTTCATAAACTTTGTTTTGAACTTGAGCATAATTTCTTCAAATTGCGAAAAACCGATACCAACAGAAGTAATTCCTGTAACGGCACCCACATTAGTGTTGACATTATGTGTACTTGATAAACATTATCAAGTACACATAATGTCAACTATATATATATATATATATATTCGCTTGCGCAATAAAGACGTCTTTACAAATATTGCATCTAAACTTGAATCTGGAGATCAAGAAAATCTTTATTTCTCCTATGAGTGATATTTGTGAGAAACCGCAATTGAACAAAGAACTGTGGCCAGATATAGTTTGCAGCTGCTAAGCGGCCTAAACTTGGCATGCCTTATTCTATTCGGCCAGGTGTTCTAATAGCAGTCATCGAAGTACACCTTCAGGTCACTCTCAAGTCCGGAGGTAAGGTTTCATCATAACTAACAAAACGAGCCCAAACTCGGCACACTTAGCTCTACTCATCCAGCAGTTTCAGTAGTGTCACCAAAGTACACCATAAGGTCTCTCCATCAAGGTCGCAGGTAAGGTTTCATCCTAACTAACAAAACGAGCCCGAACTCGGCACACCTAGTTCCACTTGTCCAGCAGTTCCAGTAGTAGTCACCGAAATACACCATCAGGTCTCTCCATCAAGCCTGGAGATAAAGTCTCATCATAACTAACAAATCGAGCCCAAGCTCTGCACACTTAGTTCTACTCGTCGAGGAGTTCCAGTAGCAGTCACTGAAGTACACCATCAGGTCTCTCCATCAAGCTCGGACGTAAGGTCTCATTAGAACTAACAAATCGAGCCCAATCTCGGCACATCTAGTTCTACTCGTTGAGGAGTTCCAGTAGCAGTCACCGATTTACACCTTCAGGGTACTCCATCAAGTCCGGAGGTAAGGTCTCATCATAACTAGCAAAACGAGCCTAAACTCGGCACACCTTATTCTACTCATCCAGGAGTTTCAGCAGCAGTCACCGAAGTACGCTTTCAGGTCACACAGATAGGTCAGGATTCGAATTTCGTATCTAAGTATATTTTTGTAGGTATGAGAAATGAAAAAAAATTATCTTTCAAAGTATCAAAATGTTTTACTTGATTACGATTCCCGCAGCTAACCGTGCGTACACTTGTGTGTGTGACCCGTGTCAGTGTAATAGTTCGATTCTATACCTATCAATTTTGCAAACGCGTCCTTAAGAACAAACGGATAAGTAAATGATTTTTGAAGGGCAAGCGAAACAAATTGGTACAGGTCCGTCTAGCAGCGTGCCTCAACGATCACTGTCGCTCCACGTAGAAATGAAAGAAAAGCCAAAAGACGCCACGATGGCGCGATGCGAAACATCGATTCGTTTGAGTTATTTTTCATTTAATATATTAATACTTACAAAAATTTTATTTAAATCGATAAATAACAACAACAGTTCCCCTTATTATGATATTCTACATCACTGTTATTCATTTTATTAAGATTTTCTTATAAATAATACAGTTGCAATCGCTAGAAATTCAATTCCAATGGCTATTTTATGATTTTTTTCTATCGAGAAAATTTACAGAAAACGTGTTTTGAAAACAATGGTCCACCCATAAATGTGATCAAGATTAACATATTTTTTGCGGGTCTAAAATGTATATACTTTGTTAAAAAAAACGGTATTGTAAAGCCTAGTTTGACTATGTACAGCGCCTTAAGAAAATATTACAAATATTTATTATTATCTTCTTATGGTATGAGGTATGGCACAAGGTCTGTCCATCTTATTTCGTAAGCGTTCAAGAATGTGTAAGCGCCACTAGCGCCTACACTTCTGGCACTACTATCTCCTGTGCAGTTTAAGGAAAGGATATAGTCATAATCATTAACGTTCTATTCATTATTATACTGGATGCTTCCCAATTCTACCTGAAACACGACAGTGGGTATTGTTTTGAAGGCGAAAGTAAACAAACAAAAAAATGTGGTAGCATTAGGTTTTCAAATACGACAAATGCCTTATCGACTATGGTTGTTTACTGCTAGGCATCTACTAGTTGGGTCGGGTCGGCCCGCTTCGCATGGGAAAAATAAGCCTACTGCACATTTTGTATGATACTGCATCCACTGAAACGGGCGGGGCGGACCGCATGTTCGCGGCATACGGGGAATACGACCAACGCATTCACAGATTTTATGCAATACCAAGGAAATATGCGAGGAAGTTGTTTGTTATTCTTCGAAATTTTCGTAAAATGTGCGAAAATACTCAAAATATTGTACCAGATTATTCTTCAGAAGAAAGAAAAGTGAAAAATACAACACAAATTCTTTGCTTCTTTGTCTGAAATGTCTTAAAAATATGAATTTAATAAAAACATATATAATTTAAAACCCAACCAGGTGGCAGCCTTCGGCAGGGGAAACCAATCGGCCGAAGTTAGGGAGAAAAGAGAAGAAACCGGCGGACGATGCAGGCGGTAACGAGTAGTTCTGCCTTCTGCATTTGAGCCCCGTCACCGAGTCTCCTCAGAGGACCCGAGAAGCTGACTGGGATTGGCCCGTTCACAGAAATGACTACGGTGAATAATAATGAATAAGGTGATCGCCCCCATGCTGGTTCTATGAAAATTCATTTAAAATTGTATAAACAAAATTATTGTTAAGTGAAATTATGTTTTAAAAAAAGTCCCGCTGGGTTTCTTGCTGGTTCTTCCCAGGACAGAGGTATTTTCCGAACCAGTGGTAAATAAAATAATGACTTTCAATAAGTATTATGTAATAATCCATATTAAATAAAAATCATTCTATTCTACTAAAGGAATGATTTTGGTCTACATATTTTGTTCGTTAATGGTTAATGTTATATTAACATTACTATTATTGAAAAAGTAAACTAAACTATTTTGTAATTTTGCTATCCTAGAACTGTGTACTTACTCAAGTGTTGATATTATATTTAATATCGTAATACTATCTTAAACAATGTGTGTTGTGTTTTGTTTCAGTCCGCCCTTTATACTACGTGAGTGAACCATGAGAATGGAATATTAGCGTAAAATGGCGGTATAACCGTGTTATATTTCTTATGGTAAGTGTAAGGAAATGGAGACACAATTATAAACAACGAGGTTTCATCTTAGTGCTCAGAAAGGATAATATGATACAATATTTTAAAAAGAAACTTAAATGTATTTATTTACCTTAAATAACAATTACACTATCATATTAAATATTATAGCACCAAAATATGTATTAAATCATTGTCAATACAAGCAAATAATATATTATCAGGCAAAATTTATTGCTGTAAATGAGTAAGTAAAAATTGCATCTACATAATATTGTACAAGTAAAATTATAACAATGACGTAAGAGTAATCATGTCTTAGAGAATGTTAACAGTAGATGATGATTGGACAGTTTGCAGATACTTCTTAGTGTTCACTTGTTTTAGGCCCATTCCATATTTTTAATTATGTTAACAACTTAAATGTATAGTCGTTTCATTCAGTAATGTTATTATAAACGCTTTGTATTGAAACGGAAACAGTACCTAGAAATAAAAATGTAGTGTTAAATTTATGTTAAAGTAATATTTATAAAATTTGCCTCGCAATCTACACACACCTTGCGAATTTCAACGAAACAAAATGTACACACAATGCAATCGGTGAGCTACGAAATACAAATGCTTTGGTAAAAGTTAATCACGCACTAATACTATTACTCCTACTAGAACAAGCATAATTTCTAACTACCATTTATTTTCACACCAGTCAACATCGATAAAACTGCAGGCCGCAAATTGTAAAATAATACGGATTGTGTATGAATTACCAAAAGAGGTTCAGGAAATCATTAATTTACAATTATAATATTATTTTCGTTGTAAATGTTGTGAGTCTTGTGGATTTTTGCTGGTTTTTGTGGTTTTGCTTGAAACTTTGAATAAACCTAGGAAAGAAATGTTAAAATGTATTATTATGACCCAAGTAATAACTTTGGTGTGTCCAAACCACCACTGTAAAATATTCAGACATTTTAACTTATGTTAATATAAGTGACTCACAAGCTAAGTTGGGGATGAGGGAAAGTTAAAATCGATGATAGTATTCATATATTGATATCTTAAATACAAAAAAGTGTTAATCTTTCCTTCGTAGAACTTTTTTATAACTAATATTAATTTAGGAATATAATATAATTAAGTTAGAAAAAAATATAAACTCTTACTAGTTCCATTCTTTTGCGTAGGTGAACGGGAATGTAGCGATCGATCCAATTGTTGTAATTCAAATATCCCATGCCCTTGCGTATCTTTATTCGCAAACGCGCAACAACATCTTAAGAATTGTTTAAATCCACGTCGAAACCTGATAGAGTAAAATAATAAGGTTAGAAAAAACACGTTCTAACAACATTTATGATATTTTTTTGAAAATTTGTTACATAATTCGAAAAAAATATAGCTATGACATGTAACTTAAAGATATCTTAAAAAAAAATTAAGATTAAAAAATTCCGCAACACACACACACACACATTGGTATCAATCTAGATTTAGGTTAGAGATTTTGGAATGGATATACTCGTGCCTCCATTTTAATCCCAAAGTCCCTTTTGTTATAAGGAGGGTTACATGTAGGTGAGTTTGGAATTCGAAGATAATTTTTTACGTGGTAGAGCCATGCATTGTGGTTGTAATACGAATCGGTTAGTTCAACCGGGGAAGGACCACATTCTCAAAGAATATCAGCGTAAAATAGCAGCTTAATGCTCCTGTGTTTCGTATAGTGGGCTTAGAGAACCTGAGACCCTTTTTACTGGAAACGAGACATCCCATCTTAGTCTTCAGGGGTGACAACGCATCTATATTTTGATTCTTAATCGAGAATAGATGTAAGGTAGACCTTACATCTATCCTCGATGGGCCACAGTATTCACTTACCATCTGGCAGACTATGATGTGTTCGTTTGTTATCCGTATTCTATAAAAAAAATTGTCGGTCGTAGGACTACACGTCAAAAGTGAAAACTTAGCTTCACAAACTTGTAAATATAATTTTTGGGTTGTTAAGAGGTAATTTTTTATGAAACATTATTTGTTAGAAATTATTTTTATCAACGTATAATTATAGTAATAAAATTTTCATTTATTGCGCTGTTTTACATGTAAAATAATGATAAATTAATACATAATTACATATTAATTTTTGTTAAATTTAATCAATTGGATTTTTAACATTACTTCTATCAATTTTACGTATCTGAGCGTAACTGTCACGCGAGTTCAGTGCATCCAAATAGTGGTTAACGTGCCTAAAGAAGTTTTCACTTCAAATACAAGACAGTTGTACCGAAAAGTAATTTTTTTTTTCTCCAAATTCCAAACTCAACCTCGTAACAACCTCTAGTATCCTGGTACTTACTTAAAATTCATCCAGTACAGAATAATTGGGTTAATCATTGAATTGCTCATTGCTAACCAGTAAATAGCTAAATATATTTCTTGGATTGGGGGGTATTTCGTGACTTCAGGATAATTTGACGTAACGATGAAGTAAACGTGAAAAGGTAGCCAGCACACGCCAAATATTACAACGATTACAATCATCATCTTCACCACCTGTAAATGAAAAAGTTATTGCTATATAAATGAAATCGTATAATAATTAAATAAAATTATTTAATCCCTTTTTTATTTGGTTAATAATCACCCGACGTTTGCCTTTTACGTTATCCACTTGACGTTGAGTACTTTCTCCAATAGACTTTGAACCCCACAACTCTGTACCAATTCTAGAGTACGTATAAGTCATAGAAATAATAGGTATGAAATACGTTATCATCATAAACATCACGTTATAGCTGAAATTAAATAATGATTTATAAATAAGTTAAGTAAAATTCCTCTAGCTATGTCTATATGCTTTTAACTTTACTTACATATATTCTATTTCAGATCTAGTGGTTATTCCGTCGGGCCATTCAGAAAAACATACTTGCCTTAAACAGAAATAAGTAAAATATTTTAAAGTAATATTCCATAGTAGGTATTATGTTATTTTATTTGGAATCAAATGATAATTAGTTTTCTGCATAAATAACGAATAAATTGGTCTAGGATTTAGGATTAACTTCAGCCTTTGTATAATTTTTTAAGAGCAAAAAAGTCTATTCATGTTTTTACCTCACGCTTCCATCCTCCATGATATCAAAATCTGTAGTAAAAAATAAAAAGTTCGGTATTCCAATAATGCAACCACTGGTCCATATAGCAGCAGTTATGCTAAGTGTTGCTCTCTTACCGAATCTTGGGCGTAAAGGATTTACTATGGCCATGTACCTAGAAAGTGTAAATGTATTAAAAATTAATATTCAAGGAAATTTAATGCATGATTTACAATATTCGCATGATTTAAACACCAGTCTTCAGGACCTTCGCAGACGGATGATAGAACTGTTCGACGCCTGAAGCATGCAAATAGATACGCATCAAATACGGCAATAAATGTTTTAAATTAGCCAACTTTTTTAACTATAAAGACCATACCAAATTTTGTATTGAGTAACTAAAGTTTAGCCTATGTATGTCCCACTGCTGAACACAGGCCTCCTCTCATTTCTGAGAGATTATACCAATATTAGAGCAATTATTTTTATAGGATAAGGGTGAAAAACGAGCACACAGTCCACCTGATGGTAAGTTACTGCTGTGGCCATTAGACATCTATATTTATCCTCAACTACGAATCAAAATGCAGGTGCGTTGTCACTAGTGAGGACTAAGATGGATTGCCTCGTTTACAGTAAAAGGGGCCTCCGGTTCTCTACATTCACCATATGAAATACAGTAGCGTTAAGCTGCTACTTTACGGTGGTATTCTGTGATAGCGTGGTCCTTCCCCGAGCGAGCCGACCAATTCGTGCTACAACTATACTACTTATATAGCTGCAACATGGCTCTACCACTTGTAAATTAGTCCGTCATGCTGCGCCTTGCGTGAGACCTTCACATTTCCTCAAAATGAAATATTTTGAGAAAATGTGAATGTGTCTTTCACAGACAAGCAGTTTTCCTCACGATGCACATGGTAAACAAGTACTTCAAATTTTATAATAAATATTTACCATCATATCATATCAATGTCGTTAAGCATTAATGTGGCTATGGGAATTTTAATGCATTCCTTTTAAGCGGCTTTAGCGGTACACATATTGCAAGACGAGGTAAGTTATTCTGAATAGCATAATCATAAAATCAATATAATCCAAAATATAATATATACAAGTTACCTGTCTACACTGATAGCCATCAATGTGAATACTGAAGCAGATATACTGACTACTGCAATAAATTGGTTGAACTTGCAATAAAAATGTCCAAAAGGCCAATTTAAATTCAACATGTAAGTAAAGTTGAAAGTAACATTTAGTGTAGAAATCATAGCATCAGCCAGTGACAGATTTACTGAAAATAATATTAAAAAATTGATACCTTCTCAAACAAAAATTATAACTACACATCGAAAGCAACGTTGAAAAGTGATCAAAAGGAAGTCCTTAATATTAGTTTATTAAAAGATAAATTATTATTAAAATTAAAGTACCCGACTGCAGTGAACTATTATCAAATAATTAAGCAATACGTTTGTTATAAAGCGCTCAAGAAAGCACCGTATTATGATTTGCGATCTTAATTTTGCTATTTCTCTTCTTCCTCATCATTAACCTGTTAAAGACAACAGCAGGGCTCGCACGGGCAGGAGACAATTTTATCCCCGGGGAAAGCAGAAAATGTTTATCCCGTCGCTTAGTTTTATCCGCCCTTCGAGCATGGGCACACCGGTGGATATAATATACACAGTAGATAAAATGGGAGATAGACTTAGATAGATTTTTTGTATGAATATAAACTTAAATCCACGGCTAATGAACTAGGATAAAATTGTTCCTTTCAAATGTGAAAAAAGTATAATTTTTATCTTCCATTTGGCTCTATGCAACGGACGGGGATATATGTCTACTCGTTATGTCAAACGATGATATACTTCTCCATGTGGCCGTGCTTTGGTACAAGTACAAGATAATTTTATCTTTTATCAGTGGATATAATCAGGGAATAAATTTTTTGTCCGCAGCCCATGCTAGCCGTGGTGGTGGACTTAGGTCTGTCCCACTGTAGGTAAATTTTGCTTTAATTTTCACACTTGGCAGGAAGTTTGACGATTATATCTTGGTTAACCCCAACAGTGGTAGAGCCACGCGGCAGCTTTTGCTGTCGCACGGATGGGCCGGCTCGAACCGGGGTGGTACCACTACCTCACAGAATACCAGCGTGAAGTAGAGGTTTACCTCTGCGTTTCGCTTGGTGATTGCAGGTGGCCGGAGGCCCTTTTTACTGGAAATGAGGCATTCCATCTTAGTCCTCACGGGTGACAACGCATCTGCATTTTGATTTGTAATAGAGGATAGATGTAGATGTCTATGGGGCGCAGCAATCACTTATCTTCAGGTGGACTGTGTGCTCGTTTGTCACCCTTATCCTATAAAAAAAATGTTTTGTACCTATGATGCTATTTCCTGTTGCCAGTCTGGGTCTTTTACACTTAATTTAATATTACAGAAATTCTTAAAAGGAATATTAGCCTATTTCTAACCCAATAAATAATTAGTGACGCTCCTCATCCGCTTATTTACAATGACTATCCAAATGACGACAAAATTTCCCACGGAAGCCACCACAACCATGATACTAAACAACATCGTCCATAGCACATGACGCCATAAAGGAAGTGCGAATGGCTGGTACTCCTATAACGATAAGTTTTGTTAACAAAACATTAATGATGTTTTTAATATAATTTCTTCACTTATACAGTAAATTAATAGTTCGGTGATGGTTAGTAAAATATGTTTTCATACACTAGTTCTAAGAAATATTTACAAATATTTGCATCTGGTATATTTTCAGAAAAGTGTAGAACTAGTACATTAGATCTAAAGAATGTAATACTTGACTGATAGTAAACGGTTTCATCGACACAACTTTTTGATTTCATAATCAGTTCGATTTCATATTAGGTAGGATTAATCTAATATGAAATCAAAAAATTATGTCGATAAAACCGTTTACTATCAGTTTATATTGCTTGCTTAACTGGTGTAATTTCTTAAAAATTAAATCTATTTCTTTTCTTAACATCCGAGTATAGAATTCACAAGTAACTTTATTGCGAAAAAATATAGGTGTCTTACTATCAGATGTACGTTTAGTCAAGCTCATACGTCATTCTATATATATAATATATAAACACCAGTACTATCAATATTTAACTTAATGACTACTTGGGAACATAGACTTTCAATAGATCTATACTGGAACCTACCGTAACACAATTTTATCATCGACTACATGACGTTATAACTCCATGAATTGTTGTATTTTCGCAACACAATAAAGTAACATTAAAAATAGTTGCAAATCCTACCTCCGTATAATTTCCAGTGTCATTGATGTATTCCTTACTGTTCACATCGTAAAAAGTTACGAAATAATTATGACAAGTTAAATTTGAAGCAGCAGACTCGTTACACGATGAGCTTAGACTCGAGTCGTGGAAACTCATACCCTGTGGGAAATAAAGTATAATATGTATATTAATAAATAAGCTGAGTAACCAAGAATAAATAAAATATTATAATGTTCACTAGCTACTCAATTCTTTTGTTTTTTTATTTTGTTTTTGTGATACATTATTGCTGCATGTATGTATTATTGATATAACTCAATCTAATAGGAAATTTTATGTCTATAAAAATGATTTTAATAATACCAATATATAATATATCTGATTCTAAAATTTTATAGTCATCATCATCATCACAGCCTAGTAAAGTCAACTGTTGAACATAAGCCTTCCCATAGATTGCCTCATAAGGAGCATATTTGCCATAGTTGCTACGATTAGTGAGCGGACCGGCAACCGCAATTTTTAATTTTTAATTTTTTATGAGGAAAACGCTGCTGTCCATCTCCTCGTTTCCCCTCTGTCGCCTCCTACAACACCCACGGGACGAAATGGGGTAAAGGATGGTCACGGTCAATGGTTGCCTTTATAGTGCGAGAAGTTAAATATGCCGTTCAATAATACGCCTTCTAAAACTATCGAAAATGTAACTTGGCCTTTCCCAAGTTACATCTTATCACGTTACATGATCTCTATCTACATCCAGTTGTGGCTTATTTATAGTCTGAGACGGTTAAATATCAATGGTACAATTTTTAACAAAATGAAATAGAATTTCTTTTTTTTTTCTTGATATAGATGAGTTTAAAAGTTTAAATATATTTTTTTATAGAACAAGGGTGACAAACGAACATACAGTACACCTGGTGGTAAGTGGATGCTGTGGCTCATAGACATCTAGATTATTCTTTATTAAGAATCAAAATACAGATGCATCACCACTGAGGACTAAGGTGGTATACCTCGTTTTCAGTAAAATGGGCCTCCGGTTCTGTACACTCACTATACGAAACACAGCAGTGTTAAGCTGCTAATTTACGCTGGTATTCTGTGAGAGCGTAGTCCTACCCCAGTCGAGCCGACCTAATCGTGTTACAACTATAATATAGATGCAGCTTTGCTCTACCACGTCAATTTATTTAAATTTATTTAAATATCATTGGGGCAGGCCAAGATAACTTTCTACGATCGTTAACGCTATAAAGAACTATAAAAATTGGGAGGGACGTATCTAAACGTTAAGTCACGTGACATTCAAGTGTTTTTCCTCGGTGATTACATTCATTTTTATAATTATCTATAATAGCATTGATAATAATAACTAAAATAAATTATTATTCTGAGGCAACAACGATAATGGAATTACATGTTAGTTAACCCGAATGGTGTAAAATTCAATCAAAATTACTCGCAAAAATTTTTTATAAATAAGTAATTTTCTGCTTTATTTCAATTTTTTGCGCGCTGAAAGATAAAGTGTATTTATTGTGTTAATTATATTGAAACACTGCAAACGGTAATGGATGAGCATAATTTATTTCGATCTTATAAAAACATTCTATATCTAAACTAAGTACTGGTATTACGAATACCGAACATAACATCCCGATAGCTCGTAAACAGTCAACTCGTGAAAAGATTTAGTGGATCTTCCAGACACGTATTGTTACATATTTTCATCTGTTTTACGTAAGATACAAGGCAGACACTGGTAGTGGTTACAGTATGGTCACTTTTGTTTCTCACATTTAATTACGGTTAGATGACTTAAATATTTTTATTGATTGCATTAGCCACAATATTTAATCACATAACGGGTTGACTAGCAGATAATGCCGTTAGGCTTAGAATTATTAAGTCATTAAGTCCTCTTTGTTATCTTGTTTATAATGGTGATAACAAAGCTTAAATACTTTTTTAATGTATAACATCTTTCATTTTTATATTGCAAAGTGTACCAGTTTACACACATTTAAAGGTTAGTATTAATTGAAATTGTATACCATTACCGTTAAAGACTATTAAAGTCCACTGCTGAACCCCCCCCCCCCCATAGGTTGCCTCACATAAAGGGATATTTTCCATGGTTGATACGCATGGCAAGCGGGTTGGCAAACGCAATTTATTTTTATTTTTAGTCGTTAATAAGAAGACGCTGCTACCTATCTCCTAGTTAGTTTCCCTCTATCGCCTTTTACGTCACCAACGGGTTGGTATGAGGTAGTGGATATTCTTACACCGTTACTTAAAGGTACTTAATATTGTTCATTAATATTATATACCGTAATTTAAAGCCTTAATTAGGGATATTCCAATATTGTCTCCAAAATGTAATAATATACTGACTATATCGCAACTAAACTAACGCAAATCTAAAGCCTTAATATTATAAGTAAGGAACACTAAAATCATATTAGTTATTTTTCAAGTCAGTACTAATGCAAATAAACACGTAATATTAGAATTATTGCAAATAAATAATAAATCGTTTACTCGCAAAATGTAAACACAGGCAAATTCAGGGTCACATGTATTCGGACGTTATTAAACAAAGATGTAAGTGTCTATGAGGTAAACACGCCAATGATCGCGACGATCTTCCATTTTCCTTCTTTCAATTTTTTTGTTATTTTTGAAGTGAAACTTTTTTAGAATCGTTATGATTTGACACTTGATGAAACGAAAAAGCGACAGTAAAAAGAGATAAACATGTACATCCGTAGGATTTAGCCTACGAAACAAATAAGATAAAATACAGTATACGGTGTTTCTTATTATCTCGGTCGAAGAAATTATTAATTTATTGAGACTCTTAGTTTAAGACCTCAGTTGAGCTATATCACGTTCCACAAGATCGTGCAGCGCCCGTTCTTGAATTACAGTGTTCTGTGTGGTGGCCGCTGAAAATATTTTACGCACGCGCAGCTACGCTGCACTCTACCGCCAAATGCTCTCAACTTATTTGTATTTAAGATGTTTTATGCAGTTGCTTCCAGCAACACAGTTCATTTCAAAACAGCTGGAATATAAAGCCTGCGATTATTTTGATTAAATAGATGCGTGGACGTGACAACTTACCTTAAATTACATAAATTAGGCACAAACTGCTATGGCGAATAAATATAGAACATGAAATGCCCAGGCAGTTTACGATCTGCCTAATTGTAACGATCAGACTGCGACATGTACAAAAAGTTCAAGTAAGTTATTACGTCATGTCGATGTGTAATCAATCCCCAGCTTTGTAAGTGGGCGTCGATAAAATTATGTTTGATGCTAAATTATATTTTCAATATTGTGGGTTAATGATGTTTATTATTAAATGGAGGTTGGTCGGTTATGGGAACATACTATTTCAGTCAACAAGACATAGATACTGTTACATAATATAATATGCTTTTTCGAATAAAAAATCCACTACCTCATTTCATTCTGTATGTGACGTAAGAGGCGGCTATGGGATATGTCAAAAATCTTAACTTATGGCTACCGATAGATGGCGGTAGAGACGAAAAATATGTTGACCGGCGACGTTCAGTAGTTTAAAGGTGCGAGACATCTGGTACAGCGGTTATAAATTCTCCTACCAAGTGTGATGATTATGACAAATCATTTCTATAACAGGAGAGGTGTATGTCCGGGAGTGGACATTTATTGGTTGAAAAAGCTGAAGAAATGAAAACATAAGATATAAGTAATGGAAATCCTTAATTTTAATTTATTTCTCCCGAAGACATCAGTAACAAAAATGGATCCACACTAGATGGAGTGACGACCTGGTCCCCTACCAGTGCGTGAAGTCGTTGGATGCATGTGGCTCAGGATCATGATTTGTGGTATTGAGGGAGGCCTATGTAAGGCACGGGCCTTGTGGTGGACTGTTATGATGACGATGAATAACCTATTAATTATAACGAAAAAGACACATTCCTTTTACAAATATTACTATATAATAATAATTTTGTGTATTTCATTCAATGAAAGTAAATCCGTTCGAGAAAGGACTATTATTTGTAAAACTTTCTATTTATGTACAACTTCATTTCTGCTTGTTCTTCTGATTTCAACAAAATAATTCAGTGTAAAGAGACGTTTATACCTTTTGTAAGAATCCATTCTTACAAAAGGAATAATAGTCTAGTCTAGTTTCTGTGATGTTAAAGCTGTTAGTCTATATCGATAATCTCGAGGGAGTGGGATAATATTGTGTTCAGTGATCACATTATCGTTACTTTAGCATTAATATCAAATACTCCTTGATGCCGCCGAAAGTCACAACATGACATGGGTGAGTTGTCTAACCGCCGTCCGAACAATGGGTTGCGGACCCCGGTTCAATGTTCTAGGCGGCAAGAACCGCCCAGGGACTCGGGTGTACGGTGTGTACGCGGTGTGGAGGGGTGTGCGGCGCGCCCGTCTGCGGACTCGCTGCGTTCCATCCGTTGTTGTACTAACAGCGTTTGTGGCACTAGGTGAATGTGTAGTGTTTGAGTATGATTGGCCGGCGACATTTCGATCGTCAGCATCTAGCGGAACAAGGGTAGAATGTTGCGGGGCCTCCGGAGAGTTAGCGTAACGTTCGGAGTTGGACGTTTGTAAGAATGAAGATTCGTATGTTGCCTTTACAATGCCTGTGGGCGTACTTTTTTTTTAAAGAATACCAATAATGATATTTACATTACTAATACTCCTTTTAACCACTTTCAGTAAGCTAAAAAATGCTCGTGTTAAGTGTTATTTACCACAGTAGTCGAACGTCGGATTCGAATCCACGAGTATTCATGCTTTGTGCACTGTCACGTATTCACCTTTCATTTTTATAAACTTTATTTACTGTATCATTGGAGATAAAATTATTTACAGCTTTCCTATCCGATCTGTTTACTGGCTAGCCATAATACATTTACCCAAGAGATCTGCCTGCGGTACATGCTTGGCGGATTTATCGCCTAATGCCTGCCTGCTGCCCATGCTCAATGCCAACGGATCGGGCACGGGGCAAACAAATCCGAGAGATAACAGTGCTCGTGTGCGTAGGAACAGATGTGCTCGTTAGGTCGTACCTCAGTTACCATGGAACGCATTACGTGTTATTGGTT